AGATGCTTATTAGGTTGGCGGCCATTGCTAGTAGGTCGGAGGCCATGTCTATTAGATGCTTATTAGGTTGGCGGCCATTACTAGTAGGTCGGAGGCCATTGCTATTAGATGCTTATTAGGTTGGCGGCCATTATTCACCCTTCGATTTCTGTGGCTGGCTCTGTTCCGAACATCGAGTCTGAACTCACGGGATCATCGAATGTAGGCCTGTTCGAGCTTGGAGGGAAACTTTGGCGGACTGGAGATTTCATGCCTCAGTCCATGCTTCAGAAAATTCCGAGCGGCGGAGCAGTCCCGAAGGATTATCGGATCCTTTTCGAAGCCATGCCATCCAAATGCGCGCGGATGCCTAAGGTCATTGGCCCATCAAACATTCAGGGATTGAGTCGACAGGACGCCCTGCGGTATGGCTTGTTGGTAACCTTAGACCAAGACGTGATTTTTACCAAAGGCAAGGGGATCCTGAGTACTACGTCCCACAAAGGCAGTGACGTCATGTTTTTCGTGGCTCCACCGCCGAAACACGGAGGCGTTTCAGCTTGCTATCGCAAAGTCAAAGGCATCCATCGTGAAGAAGAAGAATTTGAGGCTGATACCTTTGAGGCTGTGAACGACGTGGCGGACATTACTCCAGCCAGGGATCAGCAATGCTTGCTGGGCATTCCGTTTGCCATAGTCTTGGCAGATTGCGATTTCACTGGCTTCTCGTTTGCAGGGGCGGTTCCAGTAGAGCAAGAATGGCGTGAAAAGACAGTGGAAGCTAGCTCCGTGCCATCTTTCATTTACAAACGGCATAGGGAGCTCTGGCCGACTCGAGAAGCCATCTTCTACGATTATGCCGGGGAGAGTGGTTTCAAAATTTCAGGCCCTAGTGGCAAGCCAACGGAGCCAAAGTCCAGGGTTAGCGAACGCAAGAAGGTGATTTCAGCATCCTGGATCGACAGAGTCCGCCGCAATGAAGTTCTGGGCCATATCCCATTCGATGAAGCAGTGTCCTTTGGGCTCGGAGTGCGCTCTCATGCGGAGTACAAACGTGCTTTTGGACCTTCCCCAGATACTTATGAGTCGTTCAAAACTATGGGGATCGGCTTCTTGTTTATGGCGGCCACAGCACTCCCTCGGGTCGCGGAAAGCAGGTCCACCAAGCGGATCTTCGGAGCCTGGGGGATTACCGTTGGGATCATTGTCTTGTTCATCGCATGGCTCAATATCGAAGCTAGTCATGCGGAAGTCTTGGGTGGCACAGTAGCGGCAGTCGTAGCCGTCATCTACGGTGTCATGCGCAACACAGGACCTGTCTCAATAACGTGGGCCGAAATCGGGATCGGGATTTCGACCACCGTTCTTCTCGGGTTGAGGAACGCATCATTTGACTGGAGGGCTTTTGAACTTGTGAACATGACTATCGCCTTTGTGCTGGCGCTCTCCTCATCAGTAGTTACTCCATCCGGCAGAAGAGTCTCGACTACAGCGCTATAGTCATCTACGCGTATGTTGACTTTTTCGGGGTCTCCATGCTGGGCCTTGAACTTCTGGACCGTCCTTCCAGTCGGTGCATCACAGAGGTTTGCCAGATGAATTTAATTCTCGAATCACGCACCGTTGGCCTTGCATCGGAAGCCGACCTCGTCTATACTTACATTGCCACTGCCAGGCTTGTGAGACCAGTGATCACCTTCTTGATTACATTGGTGAGCATCGCAACCATGGATGTTCACAGGAAGGAAACAGGCAAGCCGGAGGAAACGCATATTCTTGGCCCGCTTCTCGACGCGACACGTGCAAAGATCATCGCTGAGGCGCCTTCGCAGGCGGCTTCGGACGGAGAAGGGTTCCTCATGCTCCTCTTCGTCGCAGCTCCTTCACCTTCTGGTCCTGGTGCACCCTTACTATTCCTGGCAGTCATCCTTCTCTCCGTCCTTCGGCCACAGCCTGGGGGCATAGGAGTGTCGAAATTGTCGATGGACACACTTCGGGATGCATCGCAAGCCATGAATGCCAGTGCAGCTCTCTCTTCTGCTGCGCCAGCAGGCATGGAGGGAAAGGCAGGAGATGAGGCAACGGCGGCTGGTGTGTTGTATCGGGCCGCGAACGACCTCGCAAAAGGGAAATTCAAAGACTCCTTATAAGATGGACCGCCTCAAAGAGTCATTGTCGTATGCGATGGTGATGTTGAGCCTCGTAGGCTACGTGCCGTCTGCGGCGTGTAAGAGACTCGCTGGCTATGCAGCGCTCTGCCTTCGGATTAAGGTGTTTGTGGTCCCTGATCAGACGATTGGCACCACATCCATTCGAGCGACTTGTAGGGTGGTTCGCGTCACGGCCGTAGGCGACCTGGATGGTCTTTCACCAAATCATGGGCAAGCATGAAGGACCGTTGGGCATTTATCGGCTAGATTCAGTGTCCGTTTGGGATGCAAGAGTCTCTGTGATCTCGGTGGTCTTTGTACACCTCTTTTCGGGGTTCCGTAGGCCTGGAGATCTACACTGGCACATCGAGCACCATGCCTGGACACACGGGATAGAGTGTTTCTGCCTTAGCATCGACTTGTGCCTTCAGAAAGAAAAGGGCGATTTGCTTGATCCAAGGAGAATCCAGTGGTGGAAGGAGAGGATTCACGCCCGTCAGGTGCTTGGC